TGTTGGTGTGATGATGTTAGCATGTAGCTTTTAATGTTTTTATTTTTTATTTTTATTTTTTATTTCCCAAATACAAAACAAATCTGCCTGTACCAAGTTTAATGACCCAGGGCGACTGCAAGGTGCTCAAACTTCCCGCTAAATCCCGTTAACTGAACTCTACTTATCAGACCATGTGACGCTGCAGTCCTAACATCCAGCAAGAGCCCGTTTTTCATCAGGGTTAGCAAGATACGGTGCTGACAGCATCACTCAACACATCAATAAGAGCATACTGATCCGCACGGAGCGCTGCTCACACCGAATTCGTTATCAGTCATTGTCTGCTGTTTATCTGAATTAATGAGCGTATGTTGTTGTGGCTTTTTCAGAAGCTGAATGACAACAGCGAGCAGGTGATCAAGAGGAGGAAGAAGAAAGAAGGAAACGCTCTGGAGGAGAAGAGCACGAAGAAGAATAAAGTACCCAAACAGGGGTGAGAACCGTGGCTGTGTAATATTACTCCCCTGTCCGTTTGTGTCGGGGCTTGTGTGGTTTTTATTATTAAGCTCAATGAGAGGCTTATGAAAAGCTGAGCAAGCCAAAACTCTTGAATTGAAGGACATCGCTTTGCATGCAGCTCTCAGAAAATATTCCTAATCAGGTGATTTATTCTGAAGATGTGTCTCTCCCTGTATATATGGACAGGCTGTTTCTCCTGACCTTTTTAGACACCCAGTGATTTGTGGGCCACCACAAATATGCAACGAGGCATCTGTGTGCTCTTAACCCCTCTAACAAACCGCCACGCTGTGTGACATTACACCCCTCTGCTTTTCTGTGGACGCTCTCGTACGTCTATCACGAGGCAGGGGTGCTTATTGAGACTTGCTCGCAGCTGCTGTGACAAGCAAGCCACCTTCTAGGAAATGCTCCATTATCTATGCTCGTATATGCCGAATACTCCAACACCCCTCCATTCTGAATACTACGTCTAAAAATAGCCACAGCTATTGCCATTGTGCCATTGCTAAATGGATGATGTTATATATGGGAGTGTATGTGTGTCAGACCTTTGAGAGCAGACTGCAGGTTAATCCCATTGAATCCCCACACTTTTGCCTCATATCTGTCTTTGTCAGCACGTGTCGATGCCTCAGTTTGTCTGTGAAAAGATCGTTATTGGTGCCTTGTCCTACGTGGGCCGGTGAGTTTGTTAAGATTTTTCAAAATGGAGTGGACTCGCCTGGTTTCAGACCTCAAAACAGCCGCCCACATTTCAGATTTGCTTAAGCATTCAGATGGGTTTACTGCAACCCCTTTATGGTTGTTTGCAGCAGCTGGAGAGGCAGTTGGCTAATCAGAGCTTAGAAGGTGGGATTAAGAGCACGGGCATCATCTTCCTGCAAAGCTACATTAATGAAAACTAGTGACAAGAAAATGGCTGTAATATAGCAATAAAGTTTCATTTAAAATGACTTTTGTGCAACTTTCATGACCTTTTGTTAAAGCAGCGTAAAGGTGAGAAAGATTTGAGAATAAGGA